GGCAGCAGTGACAGTCACTACGGCAGCTGGAACCTGCTCAAAGTGAGATGGTCTGAGACCAGGTCTCTGCAGAGAAGTGCTGGGAAGTTCTGTAAAGAGCAGGGTTCCAGTGGAGAGAACAAAACTATCAGAGAAGTTAGTAGATATGGAAAGTCAGCCTCACCAGCATGCTGTGGAGAGCCCTCTCCTTGTTTTCTTCCCTAGAAGCCTTCTACCAAGCATCCAGGAAGGGGCCGGGATGGAGAAATAAGAGCTTAACGCAGACTTCCCAGCTATTCTTGTCCTTTTTCCTTCCATCTTACTGGCCAGAGGAAAGAACTAGGGAAAAGATTTTATTTCTAGGCATATAGTTGTGAGATCATATTTTGGGCAGGGTTGGGAATGCTCTGTCTCAAGGGCTGCAGTTATTTGAATAGATGTGGTATGATCTGACTGCACCACAGGGAGAACAGAGCCTGCAGCAACCAAACCCCAAAGTTTATTCCTCTAGAAAATGTCTCTTTATTAAAATACAATACTTTCTAATAACTACAATATAGCACCAAGAGCAGCACATAGAGCAAATGTCCCACCTGGGAGCTATCTGGGAACTTTTGCCAGAGACTATTCAATAAGAGCAGCGATAATCATGCTACCAATGTCTTTAAAGCCAACAGTCCTCACCTATAGAGCTGGGCATCTCAGGCTGTAACAGGCTGCAATTAATCGGGTTAGCTGCTTAATACACAATAGCCCCATGTTTGCTGCTGAGCTCCACCAAGCCCTGTCCTTTCGTTATCTTTCTTAATCCATATCCTTTCCCCATGACGCTGCTAGACAGTTATTATCCAATATTATCCAATAATAAAGAGGTAGGCTTGTGTCCCAGCAACCTGTGTCCCCTCTGCTCTGAGAAGTGCATCACACTTGCCTGGCTCAGTCCCTTTTGCTGTGCCGTGCCCTCCAGCAGCTCATACCTAACACCACCCATTGATCAGGATTGGAGAAAGCAGAGGGGGGGAAAGAGAACCACCCCAGTTAGGTAATCAAGTCTTTAGGGAGCAATCCATCTCAACCATAGCTTTAAACCCTCCAGGAAAATAAAGCCTGAAGTCCAAACAGCACCACCAACAGCTCTAATTTATTGGTGGCTTAGTTGGTTTAGTCTTCTGCATGAGACACACTGTTCTAAAAACCTTACAAGAATCCTGAAAACAGGCTCCAAAACTGGTGAAGGACTTGGACCAGTAACAGCTCCACACTCACAAGACTGAGGTGAGAGGGAGCTGGAAGGAAGGAAGGAGTTACAGTCTGGGGAAGAAACCCTCCCCGTCACCAGGGCATGATTCACTTTGATGTTCTTACCTGGTCACCCAGAAAGGGGCCCTGCCTCTGCTCTTACCAGCATTGCTCAAGAGCTGGGTGAGCCAACAAGGTTTTAGCCTTAGTTCAAATCAAGGCACCACTACCATTAAGCACCATTACCAGGATGTAAAACAAGTGATTTTCCCCAACTAGCCCACTCTCCAGGGAAACACAGACGACAGGCTCCTTGTAGCACCCACTGGGATCCCTGTGCTCACTCTCCCAAGGCAGTTTGGGCACGTGTTGGAGAGGGCTGACAAAGCAGGCCAAGGAGCTTTTGTAAGTTGGGAAACGGATGAGAGCTTGTGTAGGCAAACCCTTCCCCACCCGCCAGCTCCCAGAGAAGAGAGATCTCCAAGCACAGATAAGGCCAACGGTTCAAGCTCCAACTGCTGCACTGAATTTAACCATTGGCACTCACCCACACGAGGTGGCAATCAGTTTTGGAGCCAAATATGTAAGCTGTTACTCTTCAGAAGACTGCCAACAGCTCAATGGCTCTGGAAGCCCTCACTGCCATCAGCCCCACTCCACCTGGAGACACAGATCCACCCTCTGTGCTCCTATCAGTCCTGACAGGGAAACGCCTTGCCATGCCAGCCTTGTTTCCAGATGAGCTCTCCGTGTTCAGCAGGCCCAGACAAGGAGAGCCCATCTGTCTGGGCTGTCTGGCAGAACTGTACTTGGCCATTCAGGCTCCTCCTTCAGCTTTCTCCTTTTAGAGACTTCTGAGGTACCTGTCTTGGCTAGTCCCTTGCTCTGGGAGGAAAAACAGCCAGAAGAAGGGTGATCCCTGCTGCATCTCCCTGTTCTTTAACTGCCCCATGTTTAATTTGCAGTCCAGATCCCAGTGTTTAAGACTGTATTTTTTCAGTGACAGAATGAATCTTTTCTTGTCCTCAAAGTGTGGAAAGAGACCGCTGTAGGCTTTGTTAGCTGATGTGCTGCTTGCGATGAGTACGAGGCTCTGGAAAGAGGCGAGTGACATTTGATTATCACTTAGATCAGGAGAAAGAGGGAAAGCGACTTTCAAAGGCAAGGCTGTCACTGTTACAAACACCAGCAGAAATGACCTTCACACACAGCTAGCTCTCCCCGCTGCCAAGAACCATCCTCTCAGCCACTGTCATCTGAAATCGCCAGTACACCTGGGGCAGTGCAGCTTTACATCAGCCGCTGCTGCTCCCAAATCCAGGGACTTTTCATCAAGCTGGGGGAAAGGGTGTACAGTGGGTCCTGCAGTAAGCATGCTGCAAAGCCTGTACTGGCCTCCTGGCTCAAATAGGATTGATTTTTTTTTTTTCAAATCATGATGTAAACAATGGGTCAGCTTCCCCATCCTCACCGGGCCAGCGTGAGAGGTAAGCTAAATAAGCCACTGTCTGTGTGGGAAGCTTTACCCAGCACAAGGAGGAGGCAGGCTGGCAGCTCCAGTGGTCAGCTCTGCCCCTCAGAGCACGTTGCAGAAGGGGAAGAACCTTTAGCACCACATGGCTAAAAACAACTCAAGAAAGAGGAAGAAAAAGGCTCAGATTATAGCAGGATAGAGTCCACATCTGGCATTCAGGCAGGAAAAGTTCAGGAGACCACAAAATACCAGCCAAGACCACTCTTTAGGATCTAAGCTCTCTAAGCACCAACAAAAGACCAAACCATGTTTTAACTCTCAGCTCTGCTTTCCAAAGAGGGGACAGCGATGATGTGAGGACACGGGAGAAGCCAGCTTGATAAATATTGGCAGTACGGGATCCATCCTTACCCCAGAATCTGCAGAAAGAGCTTTTCTCTGTTCCCTGCATCACATGGCTCTTTGATAAATCATCTTTCCTAATAAATCTATCCCTCATTGTACACATACGGAATCCGTTGCTCTAAGTAGCCACTGAGGTGCTGTCAGGGTCATTAAATATCATTATCTGGGGCAGCTGTTCCCCAGCGTGCTGACACAGGAATCAATCAGGCTAAAGCATGAATTTCCCCTACACTTCTCCAAACACTGCCTTTGTCCCTCTCCATCAAGCGATGAAAATAGTGAAGCAGTTCTGCCTTCACGCCAAGGTTTAGCAATCTTCCTACTGGAAGGAGCCGGCTAAAGGGAAACCAACAGCAGATCAGGCAGGCGTCAGGTTGTCACAGAGACAGGATGAGGTTTGACTGATGTCTTCACCAGAAAAAAAAGGAGGCAGGGTGATTGGAAACAGGCCAGCGAGCTGAGCAAAGATTACTCTAAAAAAAAAAAAAACCCACACAACAAAACAAACCCAAACGACACATACCACACAAAACCCAAAAACCACCACCCACAATAAAAACTAAAACCATCCCCCCAAAAACCCTTCCTTTAATACTCCTCTAATGAGATAACATCTTCCTCTGAAGAGCATGGGGGCTTTCAAACCTTTCATGTGCTCAGACACCAACAGGGAAAAACAGACACTCAGGATTTCCACACCATCTGAGGTTAGGATTTGTTAACTCAAGCTGTTCAGCATCTGAGACTTGAGGGCTTAAAATCCAGCCTCATTTTCCTGGGTGACAACTGCTTAACCCCATCTCAGATGTTCTCTGGAACAGATGAACTCTATTCCTCTGCAGTGACTGCCAGCCACTTCCAAAAGGATCACAGGCCTTTGAACTCACAGAAAAGGGACTATATGCAACTGAAGTCAGGTCAAGAGTGTGTTTGCAGTGAGAAATAGACTGAGACTCAGCTTTTCTTCCTATTCCAGGTCAGTGATGAGCCAATTCTGTGCTTGAATGGTCTGGATCCATGAACCAGGAGACCATTAACCTGCAGAAACACTACTGGTGCTGTAAGACCCTCTCTGTTAGCCCTGAATATCAGTTACTCTGTCAAGGTTACACAAAACAAGACAAACCTCAATATAAGCCTCCATAACACACACACTCCTCAGCCTTTAAGAGCATGTATGCATACAAGCCAGAAGCAAAGCAGCTGCACCTTTGGATGACAAAGGCACTGCAAAGGCACAAAAAGAGTAGAGATGTCTAATTTCCCTAAAGGGAATTATCTGTCTTCCCAGAAGTTCTTGGCAGTAAGGTATTGGAGACAGCTCATGAGAGCAGGGCTTCACAAGGACAACACATGTGGGTTTGGGGGTTTCCAATCCAGCACATCCTATGCTACAGAAAGGCCTGGGGAAAAAAAAAAAACACCCATGCAAACAGACAATAAAACTAAGGGCAGAAAGTCTGACAGAAGTGCCTTTTTTTCTCAGATCAAAACAAAGATTGTTGTAAGATCTGTTGTGCATGTGCTGAGAGAATGAGAAATCTACTACTGAACACCAACTGGTGGGTATCACAGTTATCCCCCCCACAGGAGACTTTTCCAAATCCTTTCTGCCTCTCAGGCAAACCAGATTAAAACTTCATCTACCAGCTCATGTCTGATTGAAAACAATTTGTTTTAATCAAATTTCATCCTAGAACAAAAAAAAAATCCTTTTCCTCAAAGATTTATCAGGTTTGGACAATACTCTTCAAAGAGGTTGTTTTGATAATCGCTTGCTTCTAAACAAGAATATCTTGCAAAAAAACCCAAAAAATAAACCAACACCAAAAAATAGCCATCGGTAGCATTACTCAGATTCCATCTATGGGAAAGAGATGGTCAAGACTTTACCAAGACTCACCTATCCATCTCATTAGGGATGTCATGATTTGAAGGTACTTGGTCTTCTGCACGTTGAAGAAGGTGAAAGGACCCAGGAGGAGAGTGAATGCTGCCTGGAAGGACAATAAAAACACACGTTAAGTTAAAACTCAGAAATTCTGCTAGCAAGATAAATTTGTCAGTGAAGCAAAGCTCGCCTTGAAAGTTCACCTCCAGACACGACTGTCTGTCATGGAGCTTTCTTTGTTGCTTAATTTTACAGCTAAGTTGGCTGAGACACAGGGGGGTCAAGCAAGCTGCTCGGTATCAGAGAACACGCCTCAGGCGGGAGCGGAGCACAGGATCCTCTTGGCTCTCAGACGCTTGCTATCACTGCTACAGTATGCCTTTACTGACACATTTCAGTAAAAGCTCTCAGTGCAGCTTTATGGAACATTAAATATTAAACTGTGGCCTCTTTGTCCAGATACATTCTCAGTTTAGGTCTGGACAGCAATAGCTGTGACCAGTCTGCTCACATTAACATTGATGGGGTAGCTTTGGGGTGTCCTAGGCTGAACAGCAACGGAGCCACATCTGCCTGGAACACTTTTTCCCCACACTTTAATTTCCTTGTTTTATAGCATAACAGTTAAGCTGTTGACTTGGAAGCTGAAAACCTGTACAAAGTGAGGGGAAGATGGGGGGTAACAAAAAAATCAAAGAGATGCTCATAGGAATGAGCCTCACTCGGTGCGGAAATTAAAGACGCTGTCAATGAGGAGAGATCTTTCTTCCCTGCCCTCTTAGATGGATATTGAGAGACACTGAGTGGCACTCGGAGCCCTACTGAGTCCAGACAGAGAAAAGAAAAGGCTTTACTGCAGGAAGACAGACTTTGATTGAGGTCTGAATGTGAACTGAGAAGAGCTACTTGTCACAGGGAGACAAAAATGGGTGTTACAGGAGACAGCCCTGCCTGTGCTCCATGGGATGGCACAGACCAGCCATACACCAGCAGGTTCAAAAGCTGTAAGCAAGCAGCATTTAGAAAGCCACAGCACACGCAGTACAAATCTGAGCAACCCAAAGGGATTTTTAAAGACAAATACTCAACATTAATATTTACACGTTGCTCTTTTCCATGACTTCTTAAAGCAGTTCAGAAAAAAGGTGTCACCAGAAGGGAAGAACTGGGACTCGAAAGGGCAGACTGCAGAGCCTCAAGGTCTCTGTCGACCCCAACAGAGTCAGCGGCAGAACAGAATCCAAGCTATTTTAAGACTGGTACAACCCCAAGAAACCTTTTTTGAGACGGTTTCAGAATATCTGCAAGGCAAATTGGAAACGCCTCGCATCACAAGTATTCTCAGACGCCTGGTGTAAACCCAGAAGGGGACCAGGGGAGAGAACCCTTGGTTTCACACGTCGCTCGGTCAAAACGTATCCTGACCCGAGGCCATCATTTACACCAATTTTTTTATTTTTTTTGTGTGTCAAGCATTAAAAACAAGATAGAAAGCATGCACAGAATTCAGATTTGTGAAGCAATTGAGGATCCTTGGAGGAAATGCTGAAATCACACAGAATACAACACAGGCATAACTGCCAAGACTAAGAGCTAAGACAGACTTAATAGTTAAGACACTTCCAGTTTTAACACAGAAGTAAACCAGCAGTTTACAACTCTTTTTTACTCTTCTCCCTCTTGCTCCTTTCTTCTAATCAAGAGCTTAACTCCACTCTCCTGCCACCCTCTCCTGCCCTCTACACACTGCCACTCCGTCCTAGCATAGTGCACAAACCCCAAAGGACTAAAACTTTAGACTTGAGAGATGTAGGTCAAGGACCCAGAGCGAACCAAGCAGACACCAACTCTCTTACTGGAAATTATTCTCCAGTTTGTGACTAATCTCTTTCAACCTCTCCTCCCAACACACATGCTGCTCAACACGGCCTCCCTTCAAATCCCGTTAATAGCTCATGCGTCAGAAAGAGCCGAGACAAAAAGAGATGGACGAAGGATGGTGATAATTAAGGAACAGGTGTCTTCTGCAAATTAGAATGCACCAGAACCAATTGGCAAAACAGCACCTCAAACCATGGCAGGGATTGACAGGAGACTGCTGAGCATCAAAGCAGCTGGGTCTGAAGCCTAGATTTGTCCTAAGCACCAGGGAAGGAGCTGTGTTAAAGTGGATTTGGGGCTCAGTTGCTGAAAAACATCAAAAGCATCATTAGGTGCTGGAGGCACCTGGGTCTCCTGCGTGCTCCCCAACAACTGCTAATGAAGCAGAAGGAATTCTTCTGGATGTTATACTCCACTGTCTGCAGTTATTCTCCAGAGCTCAAGGCAACTTAACTAAATCCACTGAGCAACTCTATCTACCCTTTCCCTCCTCTGTGGGCTTCACTACTCAACTCATGGGGAAGAGATACCAGTCCTTGTGCCTGGATGGTCAGAGTCCCCTCCCATCCTTTAAGACGATCAGTGTTTTCTACTCTTAACAAGATCCTGGAGCTGTTCCAAAGGAACCAAGCGAGAGATGAATTCAAGTACAATAGAAATGTATTACCTTTTCCACTTGACGCCCATTAGCGAACCAAGACCACTACCCACAGATCAATACAAACGATGCTAAGGCCTGGAATGAGACGAGATTGCCCCGCTTCACAGGGATTTGTGCCAAACACCCAAACACTTTTAGGAAGGGAAGCCACAGCACACACTGGACTGCTGGAGAGGAGGAAGGCCGGGCAGAAGAGTCGGACATTAAACAGCCAGATTAACATCACTTCAAAGTGAAACTGTGTACAGCTCCACAGGATTCAGCACAGGTCAGGAGAGAGAGGCAAGTTCCTCACCAATTACCAGGGCATGAGGGGCAAGGACTTAGTCCCTGGACTAGAACTAATCTCATCATCAGCCCTCAGAAGAACCCCAAGGCCGGGAAGCCTATTTAGAAACACATCCCCAAGAGGATGAGAAGAGACCATGGTGCTTAGAAGGAGGATGTCTACCTTCTCTACCTCACTCTGCCAGACACCTAAGTGCTCTTCCAACCCATTAAGTTAATTAGTTTCATAACTTCTCCCTAAGGAAAAAGCAAGCCCAAATAAGCACCTCAGACATATACCAGAACTTTTCACCTGATGTTCTCCAAGCTCAAGTCTCCCCCAGAGGGGTATAATTTACAAAGTGCTTCATTACACGCTATTCAAACAATCTGAAACCTACAGAGAGAACTGCACCAGCCAAATATGCAGAGCTCTGGGACATCAAAAAGCTCTCCCAAGTCTTCCAGTTCACCTCCTAACCTGGCTGAGATGATTTCTAGGAGTTCATCATTCTCTTCCTAAACTTCAGCAAATTAATCCGAGGCAGAACAAGCAGTCTACTTTGATTAAAGGTTTTTCCACTAATGAAGTGGTTTCCTATTAGGAACAAGCAGGCGTCCGTGGTTGATTCATTGTTAAAACTTTACCACGGGTAAGGGAAACCTCCCTTTGGCTAAGAAGCAGTGTCAGATCTATCAAATGCTGTTCATATTCACAGAATACCTTTTCTGTGTTTTTGCACAGACTAGCTGTTAAGACTGGTTCCCAAATTTCTCTCCAGGCTCCTCCATTAAATGGGAGAGGCCAGATGAATGGCCAGGCTTGCTGCTGAAGGTACCTAGAACCCACACATGACAAATAAATGCAACAGACACAAAATTCTTGACTTTTCTTTGCTTTCTCACGCAGAAAACCAGCATAAAGATCCAGCACATTAATGACCCCCTAAAAAACAGTGTTTTTCCTGCTTTCACTGACATTCCCAGTCAGAAAATTAGAAGGCAATGAGTGTAGAGGAAAGAACAGCAGCTTGTCACCCTGAATTACACTCTGCCCTGCAGGCTAGTAGGAGCCATGAGCAGCACACCAGCTTGCTCAACCCCTGGGACGGTCTTCAAATCCATTCCTCCCACCAAGCCAAGCCACAACAGTACAGGCACCAAGGTTTGGGAGGTTCTCAGAGCTGGCAACTCAGCTGACACCGCTTTCCCAGCCTCTGCGCCTGTCAGCTCTTAGTATTTCAAAGTGAAAAGTAGGCTGGTCAACTCCAGTCTTCTTGCCACAGGGGAAACTAGCTGGGATTTACCATTGCCTGGAATATATTTTTATATATATATTTAGATATTTCTAAAAGTATATTTTATAAAAGCTCTTATGTTAAAACTTGGTTACATAACCTCATTTATTGGCTTATCTTAAAAAAGGAAAAGTAAGATCAAGCGTTAATAGGACATCTGGCTGGTTTTATCAGCTTAATTTCAGCCAAGAGGACCACCAAGAGAGCTCTCAACCACTCAGTAATGGCCAGCTAATGCCAAGAGTCTCTCAGCCCATACAAACACACTTTAAGCCAGTCAGAGGGCTGTATTGACTAAGCAGGTTCTTTATTGACCTGAAGGGTCCATCTATCACTCTGAACCAGTACAGTTCAATAGCTTTCATCTGCTTCCCAGCGTGCGGCTCGTACAGAAGAAGCCAATACAGCTCAGGAAGCACAATTAGCATCCCAAACGTAGCTGATGCATGTATTAGATGCAGTAGTTACAGCATTATGGCTACTGCCTGCATGTATTTGCAAGAGGACCATCTGAAAGCCAGCTTCATTCATAACTGTCATCAGAACTTGCTTGTTTTCATGCTCCACAAACTCATCTGTAGGAATTGCATCTGTTTTTGGTGCTTGCTGAGTAGTGAATTAAAAACAGTAGCTGCTGTTTCTTGTTGAGTCAGAGCCCAGAAACTTTCATATAGTTGAGTAGAAGCAGGGTATTTACCTGAGCAGAGCGAGACCATGAAGATTAATCTTGCTAAATGCAGCAACTACTCCAGGAGCAGAGCAAAAAGAGTTTAAGAGTTTTTGAATAAATGCATTTTTGTGGCACAGGGCTATCATACCAACGTGAAGTTAATAGGTCTCAGTTACCAGGGCAAGGATCCCTCAGTTTTAATATTGTAGAGAGATGTCGTGGTGCCCTCCCCTTAAACACTTCCCTTAGGGCTGAGGCCCCAACCACTCTTTCCTTTCCCTCCTCCAGGCCCTCCTTGCCCTCATTCAGAACCAAAATTCACCCCAAAC